CTTTCAGCTCTGTTCCCCTTTAAACATTTCACAGTTAATAGGAGTAGAAAAGAGCAAGAGCCCAGTAGCACCCTAAAGACTAACAAAATATGTGGCAGGGTGTGAGCTTTCTTGAGCCACTGCTCCTTCAGATACAGGGAGTAATTAGAGGCTTCTTCGGGCCTATCAAAGAACTGTACACTAAGGACAGTTTTGGCTATGAGATGGTTATTCTGTGGGGTGCTTACTGGGTTTTTCTTTGTATTCCAGCAGGAGATAAGAAGAAACAAAGTGCTGCTGACCATCTGAGAAGACACAGGGATTTGCAGGAGGGAAAAGAATCTTGGAATAGAAGAAGACGAAAGAGAAGTAAGAAGGCAGGAAACCAGAAGCAGATGAAAAAATCAGTTTCCTTTCACAGGAGGGATTGCCCTGAAATCCTCGTCATAGAAAATTTACAAAAGGGAAGAAGAAGGAGTAAAAACCGTCAGAGTGGGAAAGGGTCTGGGAACAAGTCGAGTCCTAAGAGAGATCAGAGAATTCTCACAAGGGAGAAACCATATGAATGCTTGGAGTGTGGAAGGAGCTTCATTCGGAAGGCCAGTTTAGCTTCACACCAGAGGATTCACACTGGAGAGAAACCATATGAATGCTTGGAGTGTGGAAAGAATCTTAGCTGTAGCAAAAGCCTTACTATTCACCAGAGGACTCACAGAGAGGAGAAACCGTATGAATGCTTGGAGTGTGGAAGGGGTTTCATTCGAAGGTACAATTTCGTTTCACACCAGAGGATTCACACAGGGGAGAAACAAAAGGGAAGAAAAAGGAATAAAAGTCCTCAGAATGAGAAAGGGTCTGGCAACAAGTTGAATCCTGAGAGAGATCAGAGAATTCTCACAGACGAGAAATTATATGAATGTTTGGAGTGTGGAAGGAGCTTCAGTCGGAAGGACAATTTAGCTTCACACCAGAGGATTCATACTGGAGAGAAACCATATAAATGCTTGGAGTGTGGAAAGAGTCTTAGCTGTAGCAAAAGACTTACTATTCACCAGAGGATTCACACAGGGGAGAAACCGTATAAATGCTTGGAGTGTGGAAAGAGTTTCGGTTGCTTTAGATACCTAAAGGTTCACCAAAGGACTCACACAGGGGAGAAACCATATAAATGCTTGGAATGTGGGAAGAACTTTAGTCAGAGCACAGGCCTTATTTATCACCAGAGAGTGCACACAGGGGAGAAACCATATGCATGCCTGGAGTGTGGTAGAAGATTCAGTCGGATGGACAAGCTCAATTGTCATAGAAGGACACACACGGGAGAAATTGCTTAGTTTGTGAAAAGAGCATCAGTCATAGCTCAAACCTTACTGTTCACTACAGACTCCACACAAAAGAGACACCATGTAAATGAAGATTTCCCCAGTCATGTGGTAGTCATTGCTTTCATCGAAGGAGACACACTGGGGAGAAATTGTATACATGCTTATTATGTGGAAAGTGCTTGACTAGCAGAAGAAACCTTTCTTTTCACCAAAGAAGTTACACAGGGGAGAAACCATATAAGAGTATGAGAAAACCTTTAGTTTGAGAGGAAGCCTCAATTATCACCAAAAGGTGCACACAAGAGAAACCACATAAATATTCCAAGTGTTGAAAGTTCTTTATGCATAACTCATGCCTTACTGTTCACTACAGGCTCCACACAAACGAGAAACTATGTAAATGAAGTTTTTCTCAGTCACATAGTAGTCATTACTTTCATCAGCTCTATCTGTTGTTGGACTGCTGCCCAGGCTCCGCCCCAGAGAACTTGGACAGGGCATTGAAGGCTTTGACTGGGTGGTTACAGCAGAGTGTCAGCTATGCTGCCATGAAGGTTGGGGAGCTCGGTCTGTGTCTGGTTAATTGCTACTGCGTTCCTTTCTGTGCTTTTTCTGCTTTGCGCCAAAATGCTTATCTATACAGATGTGCAGGAGGGAGTTGTATTGTCTGGGTTTTTCCTAGGTGCCGTGGGAGAGTGTTGGTTCTCAGCTTTAGCTACCTAACGGTCTCCAAGCTTTATCCCGCACGTGGGAGGGTGCCTAATTGGCCAGTGCTGTGGGGGTGTGTGCATACGAATACCCTATATCCTATTATGCTCATGGGGCCGCCGCCATTCTTAACAGTGCTTATGTTACTGCATCTATAGCTCTGCAATAAAAGTATTACCGTTCTTGAATGCGTGTACTTCATTGTCGGCTGTGGGTTCTGACATTCTGTTAAGAATTCTCCATTCTCTATCTCCATGCATCTCTCCAAAACTGAGATGAGCGATGGAGAGGAGAAAGCAAGTTCTAAGAAGGATGACTCCGGGGGGAGCCCGACCCCTACCATGACCGGTGGGGGGACTCCCACGACCCAGGCAACTGTGCCGGTGACTACTACGCTGCTGGTAACTGTAGCTGACACGGGAGCCATTCCTAAGACGACATCGACC